TCTGGGTTTATCCAGCGCCAATCCCAAGGAGGTGTTACATGACTGTGCACCCTTAGCACGCGTGAAAAATGCCAGCACACAAACCTGCACACACAGTGATGCTAAAAGCCACCATTGGCTGAGATCTCCACCCTTAGCTCACAGAATCAGAGATTCTCCTATAAAGAGGAAAAGACCCAAAGACAATGCAACCAAGAGACGTAAATGGCATACTGTATATATGCTCATTCTGCGGCGTTTGTTTTTACGTTTCGCCTGTCTCCCAACTTCTAAATTTTTACCTAAAATGGGAGGCAGACACACAAACTTTCTTTCTTGTGAGAATGATGCTAGAGATCAACACTGAATTAATATGAGTGCTCAGCTCCTAATAACCTAATGGTTTTAGAAAAAATCATGCACCGTTTTCCTGATGCATCCCCAGCGTGGAGCCCTCATCCGTCCCTTCCCTAGTGGTCATATAAATAAGAGTTTCCAGAATCCAAAACCTTCCTAGCTAGGTTTTATCCCCACAGCTCCTACAAAGCTGTTTTCCATGTTGGGATGCAAGAGGCTTTAGACCCAGCGAGGCCGGAGGCCAAGCAGAAGGACGGCCGGAGCACACGCTGGTCCTCTCTAAGCAGCTCCCATGGCCTCGCCTGACAAAAAGGGTGGTGACACCTCCTCCCGGGAACCGGCCAAGATCTCGGTTGATGGCGACTTGGATGTTTCCTGTGGCATTTTTCACAAGTGATACGGGTGCAATCAGTTGAGTAACACCTACTTGAGATTTGAGCTTTTGTCTGTGTGTTTAATGGAAGCCCCGTCATCCCAGGACAAGGGGAGACATTACAAGCACCCCTCAGAGCAACGGAGGGTAAGCCCTGTGGATAACGTGCCAGAAGGATGATGTTTCCAGACCCTGGGAGGCGGGGAGAGGAGGGAACGGTGTGGGCAGGAGGCTGCGGACAGACGCTGCACTCACATTCGCATCGGAGTTCAGGGCAGCTCTTTTCAACTCAGAACACAAAAAACAGTACAGGCTGCCGAGAGCCACACTGCTGCTCTGGGGACCCCAGCATGGTACACACCTCCCACTGACTCTGCTGTCCTGCTGGAATAAAAATGACCAGATTCTACTCAAGCTTGTTTTCTGCTTCCTAGGCTCGGATGAAATGCGGCGAAAAGGAATCCGTGGGTTTTCGCTGTGCTCAGTCACGTCTGAGTTCCGAGACGAGAAGGCATTAAACTTCAGGAAGCCCCGGGAGGACATTCAGAGTGGGGTCCCCGTGAAAGAAAGGGGTGTTGGCTTGGATAATCTGCACACTCACCAAAGAGCCACTGTGGACAGAGAAATCTTGCTAAAGAAAAGAATTCAGAAAAGAAAAAAGAAAATGATGGCAACTTCGACAAGAACCGGCCGCTTTCTAGCACAGTTTCATGCTTGGCCTCTGCTGTGATCATTTTTCTCTCAATGCCTCACATTTTTATTGTGCTAGAATTTTGTCACAATGACTATTGGTTGAGACAAGGAGAGAGAAAGGAAGTCAGTGCTGGCCACTCTTCACTCCAAGAAGGAAAGTCTAGACAAGCAGGAAGGCCAGCTCTGCGACGCGGGTAGCGGACATGGTCACTGGGGGACACGGGAGGCCAGGGCGTGTGAGAGGCCACAGATCCACGCAGGAACAACTAGGGCAGTAACCATATTGAAATCCGTGGTCCATCCCAGACTTAGAGAATGAATTTACGGCAACCAGCAGGGAAGGGTGGAGGGAAGGGATAGTTAGGGAGTTTGGAATTGACATGCACATACTGCTATATTTATTCAATAGAATGGATAACAAACAAGGACCTACTGTACAGCAGAGGGAACTCTGCTCAATGTTATGTGGCAGCCTGGATGGGAGGGCAGTTTGGAGGAGACTAGATACACGTTTGTGTATGGCTGAGTCACTTTGCTGTGCACCTGAGACTGTCAAAACATTGTTAATTGGCTCTACTCCGACACAAAATTAAAAGTTTAAAAAAAAAAGATTAAAAAAAATTTTTTTAAGGTGAAAGAAAGGAAGGGAGGGAGGGAGGGAAAGAAAGAAAGAAAATCATGGTCCACGCTCTGCTTTTCTCCCTCCCAGCACATCACAGACCCTGGTCGCTCCTCCCCCATCTCTGGACGGCAGTGTCTCCCACTGTGGGACTCTGAGGTCTCATCCTTGCCCCCCAGTGGACATGGGATAAGCAGTAATGCGCTGAAGCCGATGAGCATTTTGAGCCTCCAGGAGAAAGACCCTAAGCACATACCAAATAGCAACATTCTTTTTCTCCCAAGCCCTCCCAGCTTTATGCAAGAATATAAGGAAATATTAATCTTCCTTCCCTAGTGAGGGAGAGATGTAATTAGAGGCCTGAGAAGGTTTCCCCACAAGGCATCAGCGGGTAACTCTGCCAGCCCTTTAATGAGATAAAACATGGAACTTTCTATTCTGGGCTTATGGCTCCTTGCTCTGGAACACAAAGTCATTTTTATGAGTGAATCTAGAAAGAAAGAGAGAAAAGCAAAAAAAAACCAAGGGGATAAGGTCACCCTCTAGATGCTACTGGCTAACCTCATGGACACCGGCAGACGTCGTCCCCAGAGACAGAGCACAGCTGCACAGCTGCTGCTAACAGAAAAAGAAGGGAGCCCACACGAAGACTAAATGCTGAGTGGCAAGAAATTCTCAGCAACTCTGAAAATGTTTATTAGTAACCCTGCATAAACTAGAGGAGAAAGGAAATTGTATTCAAATCCTATCTCAACAAATCTCATGACAACAAGCTCTCCACCTCAACGCTGTCCAAGCTTCCCTAATGCCATAGCGATCTGTTTACGAGAATTTATTGATCACCTACTATGTGCTAGTCCATGCCCATGCACTGGGCCCTGCAGCGATCCGTTTCAGACAATATCCAGTTTCAAATCTCCTTTCAAGGCAAGCAGACTTTGGGATGGGGGCTTATAGCAGTGGTGGCTCTTCCAGGACTTGGCCCTTCTGTAAAATGCCCTTCCAGCGTATCCTACTCACCCCTTAGGGCCTAGATACACTGCCACCTCCACCAGGAGGGACAAGGCCCATGGACTGAACCCCACCTGCCGGACTCAGCTGGCCACTGTACCACAGGCCTGATTCTCCATGGAGGAAAGTCCTACACCAGCGTTTGCCCAAATGTCAACATGCACCCCAATCACCTGGAAGGCTTGGGAAAGTACAGAATGCTGGGCCTACCCCAGAACTTTTCCTTCGGTACACAGTGACATACAAACAAGGAAAAAAAGATAGGCAGAAACACTGGATAAAGGTGCCTTTATTCTTTTAGCTTCCCTGTGAGGTGTGTCCCGTTCAACCTCGTCCCCTGAGGTGTTTCAGAGACATTTGGAGAAACGACTAAAGAAGTGAGGCCTTCATTTCATGAAGCCTGTCGAGAGAACCACGTCCAGAATGTCCGAGTTCTTCTTGATCAGAAAAAGAGGGCGTGGTTTTCCACCTGTGTCAGAAGCTTTGTGTGTTACAGAGAGAGCCGTGTTGTTAAAGGAACCAAGACTCAGCCCGTGGAAGAGAAAATAAACGTGTACCACAGCTGGGAGCCTCAAAACCTAGATGTAATTGTCTTCCGGAGACAGAAGCCCCCGGGGGGCTGGTCCAGGAACAGCTCATCTGCTCTTGGTCTACAGCTGGGCGGGGGGAACGGGCTACTTCCCCAAGCCTCGGACCTGCTTCCTCTCCCGCACCCCTCACCCTCCACCTGGCCTCATTCTGAAATCCAAACGGCCTGTCAAAGAGAAGTGGCAGAGTTTACAGAGTTCCGCCTCCATCCCCAAATTCCTCTCCTTCCTCCCACCCCCCATCACTCTCTATGCCCCACCCCAATGGTGTATGAGGACTCCAGACAGCAAGAGCTCCGGATGTCTCCTAGAATAGGATTCGCACCCTCCTTGTGGAAGTCGCTCACCCCATTCCTGTAGCGCCCCACTTCCTAATGGTCTGTGACAAATCCCCTGGGAAACCAGAATATGGGCCCATGAGGTTGAAGACCAAGCCTCAAGGCTACCCAGCTTCCTGGGGATCCTTAGATCTACATCATTTCCAGACCAAACGTCGGTGTGCTAAGCTTGGTTACCACCGGCAGTCTACCTCAAGTTCATGAGTGGCTGGGGGAAGCTGGGAGTCCTTTTAGGCCCTCTCTTTTCCTGACCCAGCAGACATGGGTGTGAGATATTGCAGTCGGCACCTGCGTCCTTAAGATCCTTCCCAAGCCAACCATACCTGCGACCTTCCCTTGAACACAGCACACCCTGTGTCCACTCGGCAGCCATGACTGCCCTCGTCTGCTATGGCCCAACTCCTGTTTGGGTGTCTCATTCTGTTTGTTCAGGCCTCTGACCAACTCTTCCGTCGTCATGTTATGACTTCTTTCCAGCTTGGCTACTTCGGGCCATCTACACGGGCATTTGGATACATTCGTGCCCACTGGCACAGCCTGGCATCGTCTCTTGAGCTCATCCCATCTCCTACACCTGGTCCCCGAGACCATGAAGTCAGAAAGCTCCACGAAGGCTCATACCCACAGGCATCCCAAGGTCAGATACTGTGTCCACCTCACTCTCCTATTCCTTCCACGGTGCCGAGCACACAGTAGGTGTTCAACAAACATTTGCTGATGCGTGAATAACGTTTGGATATATCACACCTTAGGCAGATAGATGAGGAGTTAATATAACTTATATTGTGCCAGTACTCAGAGTGTTTCTGGACAATCAATAAAGTTATACTTAGGACCCAAAGGATTATTGCTCAGCAAGTGCTTCGAAATCCACAAAATAACAGTGTTGTAAAATAGTCAACTGTTACTGAGTGGAGGTGATCAAAGGAACAGAGTACGTGATTCATCTGGGGTGTGGAGGATAGGGGTAAGTAAGGAGGGAAAGAGAAATTGGACATTATGGAAAAAAGGAAGGAAGAATCAATAAGCAAAGTAAAACTCACCCTTATCGTAATCATCTTCCTCAACCGCTTTTTCCTGAAGTTTCTGAAGCTTTAATCTTAAGGATTTTACCTATGTTGGTTTGAAGGGGGGAAAATGAAAACCAAATTACAATCGCATTCACGCAAACTTATTTTGCTAAAGCTAAGAACACTTAGAAACTATTTCGAAGCTGAGCCACTTTATTCTCCTTTAAAAGAAGAACCACAAGTGTACGTTTTTTCGATGCCAGATGCATTTGTGTCTCCAAAAAAAGGTATACAGAGAAAAAGTGTAATTTGAGCATAAAATCCACAAAAAGAGTTAGAATGTTATTTTAAACAAAAATATCACGCTGTACCCTTACCTGTGTGAAAAATGCATAACAAAAAGGAATACAAAGAAGAAGAAAAGCATGAACTTCAACTCGACAGCCTGTCCTGAGGGCTTGGCAAGAATGAAAAGAAGGACTTTACCAAAGATGTCCTACGGTTCACACCCCGTCCATTACAGAAAAGGGCACTGTCTTACTTAACACGCATGTGGACTCAACGATCCCATCACTTGTCTGAGAATCACCAACGTGTTCATTTGTAATTATTTCTCTTCTCAACAGGAGGTCCCAGGATTTTCTGCAGGGAGATTCTTAGCCTATGGATGAGTGGATTTAAGCTTGCTCCCTGAAAACCTGCTTCCTCCCATCCTTTGCCAGCTCACACCTACCTCTCCTTCCACACCTGGCTCAGGTGTCACCCCCACCAGTCCATGTGTAAAGTCCTTCCTCTCTCTGGCCATCGTCACCTGTACTTGTACTTATTCACAAGATCCGAGCCATCTAACAAATATTTACTCTAAGTGTCAGGCACTGTTTGAGGGGTTGCAGATAACGGCACGAAATTCTTAGCCCTCTAGCTTTACAATTTCGTGTAGGAAGGCAAAAAAATAAACATAATAAGTAAGTTTCATGGAGCCTTAGAAATGGATTAGCGTTATGAAAGAAGGAAAAAGTCGAACCACGTCAGGGGGGTCAGGAATGCTGGCAGACGGTGGGGTTGCGATTGTCAGTAAAATCTCATTGAGAAGGTGACATCTGAGCAAAGATGCATATGCGTGGTTAGGGAGTGACCCGTGAAGCTCTCCGGGAGAAACACGTTCCAAGAGAGAGAGGAGCTGGCACAAAGGCTCCGGGCAGCAGTGCTCCGGGCTCAGCAAAGCAGAGCAGGAGGCCACCGGGCTTGGAGAGGCTTGGTTAAAGGGGAAATTGTAGGAGATGAGGTCAGAGGGGTAATGAGGAATGTGGGACGAAGAAACATGAAGTTTAAACATTTAAAAGTTCTGATTTCGGGGCTTCCCTGGTGGTGCAGTGGTAAAGAATCCACCTGCCAATGCAGGGGACACGGGTTCGTGCCCTGGTCCGGGAGGATCCCACATGCCACGGAGCGGCTGGGCCCATGAGCCACGGCCGCTGAGCCTGTGCGTCCGGAGCCTGTGCTCCGCAACGGGAGAGGCCACAACAGTGAGAGGCCCGCGTACCGCAAAAAAAACGGAATCACTTTGCTGCTCACCTGAAACTAACACGAAATTGTAAATCAACTAGACTCCAATAAAAACAAATAAATTTTTTTAAAAACCTTTTTACCAAATGTGAAAAAAAAAAAAAGGCCACCAGAGAAAAGGGAACCCTCCTGCACTGTTGGTGAGAATGTAAACTGATACAGCCACTATGGAGAACAGTATAGAGGTTCCTTAAAAAACTAAAAATAGAAAAAAAAAAAAAAAACTAAAAATAGAATTACCATACGACCCAGCAATCCCACTACTGGGCATATACCCAGAGAAAACCATAATTCAAAAAGAGTCATGTACCACAATGTTCATTGCACCACTATTTACAATAGCCAGGACATGGAAGCAACCTAAATGTCCATTGACAGATGAATGGATAAAGAAGATGTGGCACATACATACAATGAAATATTACTCAGCCAAAAAAGGAAAGAAATTGAGTTATTTGTAGTGAAGTGGATGGATGTAAAGTCTGTCATACAGAGTGAAGTTAAGTCAGAAAGAGAAAAAACAAATATGGTATGCTAACGCATATATACAGAATCTAAAAACGCGGTACTGATGAACCTAGTGGCAGGACAGGAATACAGACACAGACATAGAGAAGGGACTTGAGGACACGAGGAGGGGGAAGGGTAAGCTGGGACGAAGTGAGAGAGTGGCATGGACATATATACACTACCAAATGTAAAATAGCTAGTGGGAAGCAGCCGCATAGCACAGGGAGATCAGCTCGGTGCTTTGTGACCACCTAGAGGGGTGGGAGAGGGAGGGAGGGAGGGAGACGCAAGAGGGAGGGGATATGGGGATGTATGTATACATGTAGCTGATTCACTTTGTTATACAGCAGAAACTAACACACCACTGTAATGCAACTGTACTCCAGTAAAGATGTGAAAAAAAAAATAATCCACCAAAAGGACACTAGTTTACAGTCTGAGCTGAAACAAGACCTCAACTAGAAACTGCATGTCGGGTGGCTCAAATTTTTAGCCATTCTGTCCATGTCCACAAACGGCCAGCAAAGCACAGTGAGCACTGACTTTGGTCTTCGATAAGTCTGAGCAAGTAAGTAAATTCCCAAATACAGAATCCACGAATACGGAGGATGGACTGTATTTAAAAGGAGCTTTTTTTACTCAAATTCCTGAGATTTGCATTTTTACTTAAGGAGAGAGGAAAGGGGGTGAAGGAAGTAGAATATAATATCTGAAAGGTGCCGGAACACTAGAATCCCCATCTTTCAAGGGATCTTTTGGAAGAGCCCAACCCTCTCCCCAGTCCTGCAGCCCAAATGAGCAATCTGGGGTCTCCGCACAAACATGATGGAAAAAGCAAGGTCTCCCTCATCACACACAACTCCACCTCTTCCTCCACCTGAAGCAAAATCTGCCTTCCTGTTAGTCCTACACCCTGGCCCGAGTCCCTTCTGTCACGCCCACCGCCCTGAAGCAAGGTCATCCCTCTTCCACACATCAGACATTCAAATCACTGGAAAGAGCATCATGTTTCTCGCCGTCCAGGTGCTGGATGACCATAAACAAAGATACTTAAACAACAGATAAACTGTGTCCAGAGCCTACCATTCGAGACAAGATACGAGTTTAATTTGAACTGTGGGGAGATGACTGAATTCTTTTTTGAATTCAAATTCTCCTAATCTGAATTAGGAGAATTCAAATTTGAATTAATTCAAATTAGAATTCAAATTCTCCTAATCTGAGCTATTTCTCTAATGTTAATCATGAGCAATATTCTGGTTTCTTGCTGGGTACCAGAACCGGTCTGAAGCCCTGCACGTGGACGGGCACTTTAATCCTCGCGACGATCTAATGAGGTAGGGGCTGTGGTTACCTCCACCTTCTACAAGAGCGTCTTGAGGCCCAGAACAGTGAAGCAAATGCCCTCAGGTCACACAGCAAGGAAAGGAAAACGCCGGGCTACCACCCAGGCAGTCCCACCAGCCTGCCAGGAGTGCAAGCCCACGGGTGACCCAGCAGTAACCAAGACCCCACAAAATAACTCTGCAGTGGGTTATGACCAATTATTCATTTTGAAAAGCTGCATGTGGGCAATCAAGGAGAAAAGAAGAGCTATAGCTAGGGTGGGTTTTATTTCTTTTTAAAACTAAAAATCATGAAATCCAGAAGGTGAGTCAAGGTGATTCTCCCCAGCCACAGACCCTGGAATTCCAGCTCCCGGGCCCCCCAGTGTCTCGGTAGTGCAGAGACTGGCATGGTGAACCCGTGGCACAGCTGGGCCCCCAGAGAGCACGTCTACTCAGGGTTTCACAGACTCCAATTTACCAAAACTCCTAGGTTCACAGGAGGACACGATCTACATCTGGGTAAGAAGAGTTAAAAGGAAGGGAAAAACTATTGGTGCCACCAAAACCCAGGGGGCCAGATCTTGTGAACTGACTGCAGCGGACCCATTGCCAAGCAAGTTTCTGTTTGTTTAGTTATTTGGGAGGTAGGGAAGCTAGTCTTTATAACCGCATTCTACTTTCACTTGACTTGGGTCAAAACTTTGATTTTTGAAACAGAGAAATGCAGATATGTTGCCGAGATTTTTTTTTAAAGCTCACAGAACTAAAGTGTTGGAAACTGGCACTTAGAGTCTGAAAAGCACAATGGTGCAAACCTCCACTGAGTGTCTGGATCCTTGTATGTGCAGCTCTCAGCATCTCTCCTTATGCCTCTGACAGTCAATCCAAGAAATCTATCAATTAGATACCTGTGTCCCATCTTAGCAAGATAAATTATTTCACTAAAAGTTAATCAAGCACCAGGCAGTATGCGAGGCATCAGGCATCCAAAAGTGTCTCAGCAAAGTGACCTGTAGCTAAGGAGCTCATGGTCAGGTGAGGAACTTGGACCCCAAACAAAGGATTATTGACGTGATGAGTGCTGTAACGGGGCACATGCAAAAGGCTGTGGGAACGGAAGAGAATGGAGGGAATCGTTTGGTCTCGGGCGGTAAGAGAGGTCTCACATGGAAGTGGCTTTGAAGTCACACCAGAAGGGAAAAGGAGAGCTGGGCAGGTGGCACAGTGCAGGAAGGTCATTCCGGGCAGAGGCCAGAGGCACGGGAACAGGAAGCAGCCCCCCGTGGCTGAGCCGGCAGCAGTAAGGCATCTGGATAGCCAGGCAGCTGGAGCAGGTCGGGAAAGGTCTCAATTGTGAGGATGAGGAATTTGGAGACCGTCCGAGAGAAGCAACAAACCACCCAAGGCTTTAAGCCAAGGAATGACGCCATCCCAGCAGTGTTCCCGAAGATAACGCTGCTGGCCACGCGGAGGATGAACTGGGGAAGAGAGACACTGGAGGAAGGTAACTACATCAGGAACCTGTTGAAGGACCCAAGTGCAAGATAAGGCTTTGAACCAGGCAGGGGCCGTGGCCGTGACCGCGAGAGCGGGTTAGCTGCAGGACTGACGGAGCTTGGAGACGGAGCAGAGGTGGGCAGCAAGGTGGAGGGAGGTGTCGAAGAGGCTGCAGCTCCTCTCAGGAGCTGGATGGATTGTATTAACTCAAATCGACAATTACAGATCGACAGCGAGGCCCGTTAGAGCCGGTTTGGTGGGGAAGACAGTGGCATCAGTTCGGAACCCATCTGGCTCAAAGATTCCACGCATCACCTGGGAACAGAGACCCCCTACGCTGGCCCAGCTGCACTATCTCCCTGGGTGACAAATCGACGGCTGGACTGGGACAGGACGAACAGGGACGGGGCCAGGAGCATCAGGCCACAGGTAAGGGATCGAGGGTAAATGAGATCAGCTGCTGGGAATGAACCTGAGCCTCACATTTTCAGGTACTCCTTCCAAATCCTGATGAGATGGGCTCTACTTCCCTGCTTACATGTACATATGCCACACACACACACGCGCATACGTACACGTGCCCACACATACGCACACACATGCACACATATACATGCACACACATACTCATGCACACACCCCAGAAGGGAAACAGTCTTTCAACAGGACGAGCCAATGGGTCACCACAAAGCATCTCTGCCCGGGTTTCTCTGGGAACTCTTTGGCGTAGGACACCCCTGCCTACTCCCAAGTGCACCCACCCCTCAGATAACTGGGTGGAAGGCAACATCATGATGCTACTAGGACTGACATCTATACGTCCTGTCCCAATTTCCAAAGCACTTACATTCCCACTTGAACCACAGAACAATCCCGTGTGGTGTTATTGGCTCTAAATAAGGAAACTGAGGGGCTGAGAGGTTTAGCGACCAGAAACAAAGTGTCCCGGCTCTGTCAGGAGCTCCCACGGCTACAGCACAACATGAGTGCTGTAAACGCAGAAGCAGCTCTGGATCGCCGCCAGTTCAGAGCCACACTGTGTTTATATCCCTCAACCCTGTCCACACACCAGCCAGCTGCATCTCCCCTGTTCCCTGGCCCCAACCCCCTGTTTCAAAGCAAAGCTCAGCTGAGCTAACCCTGCATCGCTCAGGCTAGGTACTGCAGAGGACCTGCAGCCCAACAGGCAACGAACCTAAGCATCTAAGGGACAGAGAAAATGAGAACAGATTCGAGTTCAAGCTGAAAGAGAAGAGACAGCAGTGAGGCAACATCTTTTTGCAGCCAGCCACCAGAGAAGCTGCCAGCAGGGAGCTGGGCAAGCCCAGAAGTGCTGTTTCCTGCCCTCTGTACAGAACTAATCTGAGCCGTGACCACGACCAGCCCACAGGCTGGGGAGACACCCACCTCCAGCCGCCTCTGCTGGCCCTGCAGGCAGTGCCACAGCGCCAGCTTGCATTTGCTAAGCAGAGGGTCCCAACGGAGAGCATCCCCCGAGCTGCCGCCCTCAAACCACGAGGGGTCCGGGGCACGGGAGGAGGTGGCATCCGTGTCCAACAAGGGAAACGTCTCACACTCCAGCCTGGGGCCGCCCCCCGAGGTCTGCGCAGCGTCTGCCAGGCCCTGAGGGGCCTTGAGAGCGAAGGGGGAGGAGAGGACCCGAGGGTGCTCGCGGGCTCCGTCCAAGCTGGCAGCCTTGGCCTCCGTCTCCTCGGGGCTCCGACGCGGGGCCTCGGCCTCTCTGGATGGCGGGCAGCCTTCTGCTTCTCCCCGTTCCCCAGCGGAACCCAGGGAGAGGCGAATGAAACTAAAGCTGGAGGTGAAGACATCCTGAGAGCCGGCAGTGGGGGAGGGGGCCTTGGGGCCACTTCCGAGGCCGCAGCTGGTGCCCCTCACCTCCTCCGGGGACAGACAGCCTTTGGTCCAGACTGCTTCCTGGTGAGCGCTTGGGGCCTCGTGACTGTCCATGGATGGCAGCTCCCCCGGACACCCGGCGTCCCCGGGGCCACACGGCCTGGGGAGCCTCTTGGGCAGGGTGGTGCCAGCCCTGGGCTGAGTCCCACGGAGCCCTGGGCTTCCTCTCACGGCCACCAGAGCCAGGCCTCGGTGGCCCACGGAGGTCAGAGCTAAGGCTGCTGTGCTCCTGGGAACGGGGCTCCCAACCGAGGGACCTCGCCACTGGCCTCCACACGGCTCGGCCCTGGACTCAGCGTGGTGGGACTCCTCACCGCGCGCCCCTCCCTGGGCCCGGAACTGGGCGCCCACTGGCGGGGAGAGGAACCCGATCCGGGGCCCAGCTGCGCTTCTCATGTAGCCCGGCCTCCGTGCCAGCCGCCTCCTCCGAAAAGACGCTGCCGGTGGTAAGCGATCCTCGCTGCCTGGGAAGAAAGAGAAAACAGCACCGTAAACACGCACATCTCCCTGGTTCAGCTGGAACTGCATCTGGAGAACATCCCCGGGTTCAGAGGTCATCCCTCGGGGCGTCCGTCAGAGAGGCTGGCTCAGTGGTCCCCGGGCCAACCTGGTATGAAAACTCTGATTATCCTTGGGAAGCATCCGCCTAGGATGTGCAGACACAGCACAGCATCCCAGCTCCTCTGCTGAGCCGAACGGCTGGCACTGCTGTGAGCTGTGCCGACACGTCAGCGGGCACATTGCAGGCACAACGTCGGCAGCTCCTCTGAGCCTCCAGCATTCCTGCCCGGTGGTCTTTCAGGAATATCAGCACTTTCACCCTGGAGCAGTCTGGAAGGCAAAGGATCTGCAGCCGAATGCCAGCGCGCTCCCCCAAATGCGATCCAGTCACCTAATATGGCTCCTCTTAACACGTACGTGTGGTTTCGTCATCCGAGTTACCCACGTCCCTGCACATCTGCGGACCGTGGAAAGCTGGCAGGGACACAATCTATGCCCACCTATTCATCTCACAGGGAATTACAGGAGGCCCTGCTCGCTGTGTTCCCCAGACCAGGGGCTGTGTTCCCTTCCCAGCTATGCGAGAGGGACAGAAACAATGAAAGTCGCTGACACCTCTCAGAGGCATGATGCTACAGCAGATGGAGGGCGCAGGCTCTGGCACCTCATTGCCCGGTTCAAACCTGGTTGTGCCATTGCTGGCTGTGTGACCTTCCACAAGTTACTTAGCCTCTCTGTGCCTCAGTTTGCTTATCAGTAAAGTGGAAATATCCACAGTACCTCTCTCCTAGGGCGGTTGTGAGCATTAAACTAAATGAGTTACTAGAGGCAGGAAGCTCAGAACAGTGCCTGGCGCTCATAAGTGCAATGAAAGTGTCAGTTACTATTTCAACATTTTAAAGCACCCTGTTACTCATGATGTGTCTTCATCCACATTACTTTCCTTTGCTCCCTACCAAAGTCATGTGAATCAAGCAGACCGGGAATCATAACTTTCCTTTCATCATTAAGGAAACTGAGGCTCAGAGACATTAAAGCTGCAAGTGGCCGAGTGACCAGGGCCAAAGTCTCCTGACTCAGCCCACACAGTGCTCTCACTTTGGGGCCCTGCCGCACCTCAAATGAGACTGGATGGGGAGGGTAAAAGCGGGAGCAGACAGCACGAAGCACAGCCGTACATACGCACAGCCTGTGGCAAGAAGCGGAGTACAGGTCCCCGGCGGGTCCACGCATCTCTCCCCACCTCCCAGAACACAGATGCTCCCAGCGTCCTCGTCATGGTACACAGACAGCACTGGGCATCTAGGGTACCACTGTGTTATGATCGTGCCCTGCATCTAAGTTGCTCGATAAATGGTGAATGAATGAATGGATGCATGGATAGATGGAGGGAAGGTAGAATAGATGGATGGATGGATGGATGGATAGATGGATGCATGGACGGATGGACAGACTGGGGCCCATCTGAGCCCCAAACACACGCTCTTTCTGTACCCTTTGCCTCAAAGTATATCACTTAGGATGACAACTTGAAATGACAGAAAGTCAGAAGAAAGAATTTTCTTTTTTCTTCATTTATTTTTCTTTTCTTCCATGCAAAGCTGGAATCAGAAAAGGACATATGGAAAATGTATAGAAAATGTACAGAGGGATCATTAATAGGCCAAATTGGACCACTCACTAGGATGGCTACTAGCTACTACTAAACACACACACACACACACACACACACACACACACACACACGGAGAAAATAACAAGTGTTGATAAGGATGTGGAAAAATTGAAACCAGTGTGCACTATAGGTGGGAATATAAAATGGTATAGCTGAAAAGAGTATGAAAATTCCTCAAAAAATTAAAAATAGAATTACCACACGGCCCGACAATTCCACTTCTTGGTATATACCCAAAAGAATTGAAATCATGGGCTTCCCTGGTGGCGCAGTGGTTGAGAGTCCGCCTGCCGATGCAGGGGACACGGGTTCGTGCCCCGGTCCGGGAGGATCCCACATGCCGCGGAGCGGCTGCGCCCGTGAGCCATGGCCACTGAGCCTGCGCGTCCGGAGCCTGTGCTCTGCAATGGGAGAGGCCTGCGTACAGCAAAAAAAAAAAAGACTTGAAATCACATCTCAAAGAGATATTTGTACACCCGTCTTCATTAGTGGCATTATTCACCATAGACAAATATGGAAGCAACCCAAGTATCCCTCAATGAATGGATGGAGAAAGCATGGTCTATCCATAGTGGGAAATTACTCAGCCTTATAAAGGAAGGAAATTCTGACACCGGCTACAACATGGGTGAACCTCAATCCTTAGGACAAGATGCTAAGTGAAATAAGACTGTCACAAAACAGCAAATATAGTTTGATTCCGCTTATCTGAGGTCCCTAGAGAAGTCAAATTCATAGACAGAAAGTAGAAGGACGGTTGCCAGGGGCCAGAGGCAGGCAGTGGGCTGGGGGGGGCAGAGGGAGTTAGTGTCCAGTGGGGACAGAGCTTCAGTTCGGGGACATGAGAAGGTTCTGTGGATGGATGGTGGTGACAGCTGCACAATGGCGGGAATGTGCTGAATGCCACTGAACTGCACACTTACAAATGGTTAAGAGGGTAATTCTATGTTATATGTATTTTACCACAATAAAAAAAAAAATTAAATAGACCAAATGGCGTCACCATACTCTCCGGTCCCAAGGAGACCCGTCCTTTCCCTCAGGGCTCTCGCGCCTGCACCAATGGGGCAGTCAGCACAGAGCTGCAGGGGCTCGGGACAGGGCGAAGGGAGGCCTAGAAGGACGAACTCTCCTCTGACCCGAGAACCGGCAAAACAGTTTTTCAAGAACAAGGAATCCAGAAGGAAGTAGAGAGCACTGGATCCTGGCTTCAGTTACCAAAGGAAAACGAACCAGCAATTTCATATCTTGAGAACGAAGTCCTGTGACATCCATATTGTCTTTTGGCTTAAAGAGACTTCTAACTAATTTTTGTATACAAGTCCAATCACCCAAATAACCCTTCTGAAGTTAAAAAGCAATGCTAAGTGGAAAATAATTTGCTTGAAATTTCATTTCTTTTCAAATGCCTCTGGGCCCTTGGGCCCGAGTAGCCCTTCGTAAAGCCACTCAACTAAGGGTCCGAAGTCCCCCCCAGGCCAGGTCCAGCTGCCGTGCCAAGCAGTTCCCCGAGGGGAGCCCGTGTTCCTGGGGGTGGGAGGAGTTTCTGGTAAGATGCTGTCAGGCCACAGCGAGAGGCAGCGGTCGGGAATGGGGGTGGCCCAGCCTCTGAACCCACCTGTGCTCCAGACATGCCCCACTCCGGGTGTGAGCCTTCCAGAAGGTGGCCTCAGAAACAAAGACTGTCACACACTATCAATCCTCACCCTCCAGAGAGGGCGGAGGAGCTGACAGAGTCGGATCCAGAGGGCACCTCTGGAATGAGCTAGAACGATCAGAAGAAACCCAGACGGGGCACACGGCTGCTCTGAAATCTCTAGGGAAAACCCCAGTTCCCCATAACCAAAGTTCCCCTTTCCACTTTTTTTTAATTTTTATTTTTTGAGGAAGTTTATGATGTCCCTCTGGCCAGAAACCAATTATTACTTATATATCCTGCCTGCAATCTGACCTGAAATCCAAGCCCTGCCTACACACCCGGCATTTGAGAAAGGGTTATGATGCATTCAGAGCTTGAGAGGAAGATTCCTTCCTGACACCCTGCTGCAGTCAGCTCTGGGAACAGAGATTCGAGGGTACAGGAAGTCAATCATGGCAAGACGAGGGAAGGCCCAGAAACCAGCCGTGCCCTTTGTTCTTTGTAAATCCCAGAGATGGCTCCATTCTGCCCATCTGGCCCCAGAAAGGCTGGGGTGGAGACAAAGCTTCAGGCAACCTTCTCCGTCCCGTGCAGCCCACGCTCCATAACAGGTTCTAGGGAGGGGAGCGCAGGTGTCTTACTTCCTTCCCATGGTGCAGACCTGCAGGTCCCTGTTTATGTGGGATCCCCACTCCACCCCCATCCGTCCCAGAGAGCTCTGAGACTGAAGGGAAGTGAAAGACAGGGGCTTCGACTAAACCCAGATGTCAAAGGGCTTCCATATACAGTCTGCATAAGGTACCCAGGAGTGCCTACTTACATAACGTATGGGAAAAATTGGAGAAAGCCGATGTTACCAGCCAGGTCAGCAAGAATCCTGTCTGCCCTGCCTCTAATGCTCTCCCTCCATCTCTGCAAATCCCCCCCCATCCTCCAGCCCCTTCCCCATCAACTACTTCGTCCAGATCACCCAGCTCCCAGGCCTTCACCACGAGGCCACACCACTCCTCTCCCCAATTTATTAAAACCCAGCACTGTCAGTTATCTTCTTTGCTGTATATAAATTGTCCCCAACTTACGCTACTTATAAGCTTCCTGAAGTCCTTACAATTCCCCCCGAAAATCCTAGTATACAGAGAAGGCATCAATATAAGTCAGTCAGATCATACTCATTTTTGAATAGGAAATCTCAAATATGCAATTTAAAAAAATGATACTCGTGAATTTACTCAGAAGATCTTAAAACCAAGCCCCAAAGTTAAAATCTACACAAAATGCTCATGTGGGCTTGGGCAAGTTCCTCGGTGACTCTAAGGCCCCGTGGGGAAAGCACGTCTGCCTTGAGAAGTGTAAACACAGGGGCTCGGAGGCCACTGCTGAGGACGCAAAAAATAGTTAAGAGAAAAGCAAACACACAAACACTTTACGAAATGTGACCTGGGTATAAATGCACAGTGGAAACATGAATGAATTTATTGTTTGCATGGAAGGAATTTTAATCCTGTTTGTCATGGTCGGGGCATACACTTTTATAAAACGTTCAGATGAACCAAAGGTTCTGAGTCATAAAGAAACCACACATCCCTGTGGATTAACTTGTTTTCCAAGAACCAGAACCCAATCAGATACACTAAGCACAAACACCTGCC